AAAATTATTTATTTCAGTCTTTATCAAAAACACTTTTTGCTAAATGGGAGGCTGGCTGTGCTTCTTTGGTCTGACTAGCTCTGGTGTTAAGTAATCTCTAGGGTCTGTAGCAGTAACCAAACAAACAAATGATTTCTTGTTTCTTTGTCCTTATAGAAAGGAAGTAAAGTGAAACTTTAAAGACTAAGTGCCCCAAAAAACCCTATGACAATAAAAAGAAATGTAGAACATCTGCAAGGACTTTGAAGGCCTCCTGATGGCAGGAAAAGCTCTAGGAATTAGAAAAGAAAACACTGTGCCCTACACCTTTAGGGTTCAGGCTACAGGGGAAGCCCTGCTTTCTGGAGGTGGTCTGATAAGAAATGATCTTCCTTTCTGGTGGCTTATTTGAGCAGTAGAACTCAAACTCAGATAAAGAACTCCTTGAAGTTTGATCTGAACCGAGTATTCTTGTTTTCATATGATTAATTGAAGAAAAAGATAAGAAAGTGGGAACAAGATTGAGAAGGAAAGATTGCATGGTCCCAGAGAAACCCTCATCACAAAGAGCTGAGCTACTCAGTGTGAATCTGGATTGGGCTAGAAATAAAAGCAGATTTTATCCATTTTATCCCAATTCTCCTTTGTTCTGTTGTTCCCAGCCCCTCACTCAACTCTCAAATATCAGTTTTTGATATTGAATGATATTTCTTTTTTTTTTTTTGAGTCGGAGTTTCGCTCTTGTTACCCAGGCTGGAGTGCAATGGCGCGATCTCGCCTCACCGCAACCTCCGTCTCCTGGGTTCAGGCAATTCTCCTGCCTCAGCCTCCTGAGTAGCTGGGATTACAGGCACGCGCCACTCATGCCCAGCTAATTTTTTGTATTTTTAGTAGAGACGAGGTTTCACCATGTTGACCAGGATGGTCTCGATCTTTTGACCTCGTGATCCACCCGCCTTGGCCTCCCAAAGTGCTGGGATTACAGGCGTGAGCCACCGCGCCCGGCTATTGAATGATATTTCAATATCAAAATGCTTAATAAGCATTTTGATTAAGCGTTGACTGTTAATATTTAAGTGATACTAGTTTTGATTATGTTTTAAAATAAGATCTTTACCATTTAGAGCTATATATTAAACTATTTACAGATGAAATTGCATAATGTGAGAGATTTGTTCTTGGAAGGCAGGGGAAGAGGAGGTTTAGATGAAATTAGACTAGTTATGAATTGACAATTGTTGAAGCTGGGTGGGTACATGGGTGTGGGGGGGTTTGTTGTCCTATTTATATACTTTAATTGGTGTTTTCAATTTTCTATAATAAAAAGTTATTTAAAATCTCAGTTTCTGGGAATGGTCGCAGTTAGATCTTTTTCTCCTGTTTTTCTAGTCTTGTCTTCAAAGGCCTTCCCATCACAAAGATGAGACCTCCTATTATCTAGCAATGGGGATGGGTTGCTTTGAGCTAGCCATACTTTGTGACTAAGGTCACAGATGTGAAGACTGTTGGGTAGACTTCCAGGTGTTTCAGTAACATCATGTTGTCTCTAGAGGTATGTGGACATATAGTGTTGGTAGGAATGTAAAATGGCATAACAACTTTGGAAAACATTTGGCAGTTTCTTAAAAAGAAAGATAAATTTACTATAGGATCCAGTGATTCTACTCCTAGATATGTACAAAGGAAATGAAAGCTTATGTCCATAAAAAGACTTATATACAAATGTCCCATACAGCCTTGTTTGCAATAGCCAAAAAATTGGAAGCAACCCAAATGTTGAATAAAAGAAAAATTAGTACACAAATTGTGCAATATCAATACAATAGAACACTACTCAGCATTAAAAAGAAATGAACGATTTATAGATGCAAAAACATGGATGAATCCCAAAGTCATTAGGCTGAGTAGAATAAGCCAGAAAGAAAAAGGATACATACTATATGATTCCATTTGTATAAAATCTAAAAAATTTAAATATTCTAAAGTGACAGAAAGCAGATTAGTGGTTGTCTGAGGACCAGGGGAAGGCAGAAGTGGGAGGGAGGAATTACAAAGGGGCACAAGATACCTGGGAATAACAAATATTTCATTATCTTGAGTATGGTGATGGTTTCACAGATGTGTTTTTGTGTGTGTTTGTGTGTGTGTGTGCGTGTGTGTGCGTGTGTGTATATTTGTCTAATATGTAGTTGTATACTTTAAATATGTGCAATTTTAGGGGGATAGTGACTGAAAGGGGACATAGGATGGTTTCTGGGTGCTGAAAATGTTCTATTTATTTGTTCTGGGTATTTGTTCTATTAATGTGATTACTTTGGGAAAATTCATCAACATATATCTGTGATTTCTGCTTATGTCTTTATATGTGTTAATAATTAAATGTTAAATAATCAAAAATGAGGGCATCAGATTAATCTGGAACTATGAGTAATATAGTTGTATTAGTCAAAGTAAGATAACCAAAATAAAAAACAGTCTGAAAATCTCAGTGACAGCATCTTGCACATGTGACAATACAGTGAAGGTTGTTGTGAGGAGGGGCAGCTTGCTCAAGAAAACTCTTTCTAGCTAATGGCCCCACCAACCTCTTGGATTTCAGGATTGTCTACTGGATTCCCTGCCTCTAACCAACAAATGGGGAAGGAGAGAGAATAGGAAGGCTCACACATGACTTTTTTTTTTTTTGAGATGGAGTCTTGCTCTGTCACCAGGCTGGAGTGCAGTGGCGCCATTTTGGCTCACTGCAACCTCCGCCTTCTGGGCTCAAGGGATTCTCCTGCTTCAGCCTCCTGAGTAGCTGGGACTACAGGCACGCACTACCACGTCGAGCTAATTTTTGTATTTTTAGTAGAGGTGGGGATTCACCACTTTGGTCAAGATGGTCTCGATCTCTTGACTTCGTGATCCACTGCCTTGGCCTCCCAAAGTGCTGGGAATTACAGGTGTGAGCCACATGCCTGGCCATACATAATATTTTTTTAGGGCCAAGCATGTAAGAAGCATAATCACTTCCATCAATAATGTATTGGCTAGAGCAGAGTTACATGACCTATATAACTGCAAGAGAGCCTGGGAAATGTGTTCCAGCTATGTGCTCAGAAGGAAAAGAACATAGAATTTAATGAATGCATATCATTATGTCTGCCACAATCTACCCCTCTGATCATCATATCCATTTCACTTTTCCTCTCACATATGGAACACCCTCATCGTCTCCCCCAAATCCTACCCAGTCACTGCATCCAACTCAGAGTCCAAGATCTCTGACTGATGCACAGTTTTCTCCGTCAGATCTAAATGAGGTTCCTCTTGGTCTGGAGATGTGAGAGAATCTCCTTTATTCATTGCTCTCGGTGATTTCTGGCTCCACTCCTGAGAAATTTTCCCTCATTCTTTATCCTTGTTGACCAACACTGAAGTGGATGCTGGAGAGTATGCTTTTCTTAGGGACGGCAGGTTTTTTTTTTTTTTTTTTTTTTTTTTTTTGAGACGGAGTTTCACTCAAGTGCCAGGCTGGAGT